ATTGAGGAACCAGGATAACATAGCATCTCATCTAAAATATGCAACACACGCTTCTAGATAATCCAGACATTAGGACAGACAAAGGACACATACACAAAAGCAATTGTACACTGTATCCAGCAATTTAGCCAAAGGCAAGTCAACCCTTTACATCCCATGATGGGTCTTCCAGGTGCCTGTGTAGGATGTTTGTGAATTATAGGGAATACATAGAATAGAAGAAAAAAAAAACACAGGTTATGTTTCTTTAATAATGAGTGAGGGCATTAAGGTAGCCACATCTGCCTTATGTCTCGACTGTTACCTGTGGATGGCCCCGTCGGCACCACCAAGCCCAACAAACGTTGTCTAAAAGCCATTCAATCAGAAGCAGTCACTGTTTGGGTATTCGGCCAGCCAGCCAGCCTGGTGCTGGTTGTTTAAATACAATAGCCAGCAGAGAAGCTTCCTCAATCCATACTGATTTCTCCCATTCAGTCCCACAGTCTAAGCGTGTAAGCATTAGTTACAACTTTCTTTCTTTATTTTTTACAGTAAATGTGGGATTAGATGGTGATTCCTTTTAAACAGTTCCATTAGACCGCTGTCCCAGTTTTTCCTTTTCATAATCTGAAGTGTTCATAAGTACAGTCTGTGACGGTCCTCCCAGTACCCCATGGTAAGGTTTGCGTAGCTGGGTGCATAGTTGGCGCCCATCGCCGTCCCGTTAATTTGTAAGTAGAATTTTTCTAAGAAGGAAAAATAGTTATGTTTTAACGAGAAGCTGGCTCACCCCATTCTTTAATTAACCTCTCCATTAATTTTTCAATTTTTTAACTTTTGTTTTTGTTTTGAAATTGCTTAGCATTAAAATGTATTTTAAACAGATCCATTCCTCTTGCCACATTGCATAACAGTTGTGCGCTCGCCATTTTTACCGTTTTTATAAGTACAGTCCTGTACATCTGCCCTTATCGGGTGTCTTAATTCTTATCTCACATCTCTTAAATAAATTATCAAGTGCCAGCCTTTCTTCTTGTTTAACATAATTTGGAATGTGATCATTAAAGTATTGTCCTTAAGAAATGTATTCAAATCTCTTTTTACCTTTTTAACCACCTCTCACCGGCCGAACGCACGGCAAGATGGAGCCTTGTAGATGCGGGCGGGCGTCTTAAAACTTCCTTTGTGCCCGCGCCCATGGTGCGCACCAGCCACCAATGGCTGTTTACATACAATTGGTCTGGTGTCTGTAGAGACCCCCGATCGCTTGTATGTGTTACCTTCATGCTCCCCCCCTTTCCTCTGCTGCCGCCATAGCTGTGATCCCGGACTCACTGTGCTCCCCATGCGGGCCCGGGACCAGAATTGTGGCTCTGTGCAGGGAGAACAGAGGGGGCTCAGTACACGATCTCCCTCTGATCTCCTCCCCATTCTGTGAATGCAGGAATTGATGTTTATTACATCACTTCCGCATTCAGCTGTCACTCTCCGGCTACTGAAGCCGGAGAGAAGCTGGTGAAGCAGATCTCTTTGGGGGTCCCTAGGTGACCTTAGGGGTCTTAGAGACCCCTGATGTCTCCATAAAGAGGACCTGTCACTGTAATTTGATATCACATAGGGGGATTTGTATCCCCCTATGTAAAAACAATAAAGTTAAATGTAAAATCAAAATAGGTATAAAAAATGTAGTCACAAAAAAATAAAACAATATTTTTTTTAAATCCACCACCCCCACATACACGCACAAACATGTGTCGGGTGCACTTACGTGCGAAAACAACTATTGCACCCATTACATACCATTGCGAACGTCAGAGTGTGAGCAATCATTTTAGGGCCATCAATCACTGTTAACACTAAATTGATGAGCGGTAAAAGCATTTAAAACACAGCCTATGGCCAATTTTGGGTGTGGTAGATTTTTTTGCGATTTCAAGGGCATGCACAAGTTTAAGGCTTGACATGTTTGGTGTCTTTTTAGCCGACGTGACTCCATCTTTTATATTTTACAAAAAAATTGGGTAATTATAAATGTGTCATAACATTATAAAGAGAAAACAGTTTTATTTAAATTTTTGGTACTTTTTTCATTATATAGTAAAAAATTAAATCCCCAGTGGTGATTAAACACCACCAAAAGAAAGCTCTATGTGTCCCCAAAAATTGATATAAAATTAATTTCAGTACAGTGTTGTATGACGGAATAAATGTCAGTCAAAGTACCACAGTACTGAATACTGAAAATGGCCTGGATGGGAAGGGGGTTTAACACCCTGGTCATCAAGTGGTAAATTAACATTTCACCTATGAAAAAGTTGTAGGTGGAAATACATTACCTGTATTCCACTGTCTCAAGCTTTGTAGTGACAAGCTTTGTAAAGTAAGTTCTGCTTATATACTTATATTCCTACTGGATCCTTATCACTTATACCTTTAGATCAGTTTTAAAACATTCTGTAGTCAGTTGATTGTGATGTGGATTAGAGTTTATTATCTTCTTTCATGTCATTTCTGGTGTTCTTCTATTTAACTAGCTAGTCATAGTTAAATAGTAGTTAGTTATTAGTATTCTGCTTATATATACTGTACAATATAAATATATAGTGAATATATATATATATATGTGTATGTATGTATGTGTATAT